GCATAGTCCTCTCTATGAATACAGCAGCTTCAGTTGAGCTGTTTTGGTCAAGTGTACAATAAAATCCCATATTCAGTTTTGGGGATCTAAATTACTAATCAATTATAGGGCTGGAAAGCGGAAGTGCGAGATTTTGCGAGATTTCCACCCGCAGATACAAACAAACCACACGTGCCACTTGTATGGTGCTGAGATTGCCAACTTCTTCCTCCTTAAAGGACTTTCCTGTGTTATTTTGGACACATTTTGTCTCTGGGACAGAAAAACTGAGTGAGCGGTCGGAATTAGCTGTGAACTGACCATGTGCTGACGTTTCTATGACGGGGAGATGAGAAAGGTGCAGGGCCGTGCTCAAACTTATTGTTTTTTAATCCACTATAATGCATCAGAAAGACAATATAGAAACACTATTCCCATGCAAATATATTGATGTCCCTTACAGCTAGCTTTGCTGCGTTGGTTATGAGCCAATGTTTATGAATGATCAGTTTTCTATCTGTACATTAGCTCCATCTCCACTTCACACTCACTGCAGCTTTACATTGGGCCTTTTTTCTTTTTGCTGTGCTGTCAAAAATAACATGATGTAGTTGAGTTACCTATTCATTTAATACTAATGATTGTCCGTTTTCTGTTATATTTGAACATTTGTTAAATGTTATTTAATATGTGCTAATATGTTCCTCCTTTATCTCTCAAATAAATAAATACATTTATCCTGTGTGACAACAATAAAGTTAATCTTATCTTAAAATACAAGCCACAATGAAAGGCTCGGCAGCGCACTACAGGTTAGCATTACAACAAGTTAGCTTGAATACATATTCAAGTTAACCATCTGTAAAATCAGACAAAATGTTTTATCACAACTGCATAGCTTTTTACACAGCTTCAGTTGGTCTTTGGGAAACCTAAAAAATGAGCATGCTTCATGTAAACTTTGATGATAACAGCCGAAAACAAAGCAGAGCATTTTGCACCATTCATTTAAACAGCCTCTTCGAACAGCTGACGGTTTGTTTGTATCCGAGCAAATGAACCGGAAGTGCTTCTGGGACGAGACTTTCCAGCCCTATTGAAGGAGTAATCTTCTAACGAATCAACAATTTTGTGGGACGAATAAAATATCTCTTAAAATAATCTTTACTCACAACCCTGAAGCGTTAAAATGAAGCGATTATCTCACACAATTCCCACATATTTCACAAAACGTTCTTTGAGAATAGAAATAGATCTTCTCCACAGACGCTACAGGAAGAGCAGCAGCGGCAGCACCTTTTTACGCCGTTAAAATGAGTTTCCGTTAGCGCCGTTATTAACGCGTTTAACTGACAGCACTAGTTTTTGTCTGTTGCTGCAAGTCATGCAGCACATTTTGAGAGTTTTTATAAAGTGTGAAAAAGATGAGATGTCTCTTTTGGAATGAGAAAATAATGCTTCTGCTGACAACAGGACAAAAGATACTCGTTCCATTGACAAATCTTGACAAACTATACAGACAGCAAGAGACTTTTCCCCCAAACTAAAGTGATTTGTTTAAGTTACTGAAATAATTGCAGTGTTTGCCATTTGAAATATTGCATCCACAAAATGTTTTATACCTCGATTTGACTGTGATTTGTCTTGTAGCCCTAATTCCTATTACATCTACTTTTGTATTGAACCAAGATAAACAGAAGCCCTTGTCGAGACGGCCGCATTTTTAACTGATTCATCCCAAGACTCTTTTAATACTCTTTTATACTTCATTATGGGCCATGCTTGAACAAAAACACCTCCCATTCTCCCAGAGACAATGTTAATAAGCAATTTATTTGGCGTCTAAATTGGGAGAAACAGTCCTCTTTGTTTTCTGTGTCTTTCTCTCCCGTTGACATGACTGCTTTACTATCTGCAGGCAATTATTAGCAGCCGTATTAAGTCTGTCTGCAGGGAATTGATTTGAACTCTATTCATGTCTCCATTGTACAGATGCACACCGACCAAGGACGAGGTTTCTAGGACGTCATGATTAGCTTTTGTACGGGGAACAAACCAAACACCGGGATTTGAGCAGGCACATGTACAAAATGCATAAATACTATAATTTAACCCATCATGTAAGAGTAAATTATATGGAGCAAATATGCCCCAAGTGACACAGAGGGATGCGTAAGTATCCACACCGCCTCAAGTGTGGATATCTCAGGGTCTTTCTGAGTGGAGTTTACATGTTCTCCCCATGACTGCGGAGGTTTCCTTCGGGTGTTCCGGTTTCTCCAACCACTAAAAACATGTACAACAGGCATGACTGAAACAAGTGAGTGAATGTTGGTGTTGGTCGGGGCAGGTTCATTTTGTCCAATCAAAAAGCAAAATAACCTTCAAGTGGGTCTCTTTGACAGCCTTTAGGCACCTGGGCTATACAGCTGTGATACGGCACTTTTGAAACCACTTCAACCACTGTTTGACTCTATCTCAATCTGATCCTGCCACAGTTCTATCCCATTTCTTGTCTGTATTTTTGCCGGATTCTCTTAGCTCTTTCTCATCACATTATCAAACCTGTCACGTTTATCCTAGGTCTCCTGAGGGACCTTCCATAGCGCCTTTACAGCTTATCTGATATTCCAATATTATGAGCAGGACAGTATCACCATGTCTTCCTTCAGTCACTGTGAACGATTATCCTGCAGAAAAGAACACTTATATAAGTATGTTCACATTTTCATACGTCATATACTATCATGTTAAAGAACATGTTATTAAGCTTTTTTAATTGTTTTCCTCATTAAAACCCCCAGACAATAGAAACACAGTTACAACAGGAGATTTTACAGTTTTTACCTAAAAAACATATCAGAGAATCAAACAGTTCAAACTCAGGAAATGCAATAATAACAAACATATGGGAGCCATGGAATCATAGCGGGCGGATCATCATTCTGCATTAGCAAGCATTTTGCCGATGCAGTACTTCATAAAATTGAAGTACTTCATAAAATTAGTCTGAATTAACAGACTTGACTGTACATTTTAAACTAGATAGGTCATGTTGGATTTAAATTAAATATGTAAAAACTGGTATGTATGGAGATATAAATATGTATGGAGATATAAATACTACTAACAATCGACTAAAACCACAAACTAACCTGTATATTTTGTGTGCTCCCTGTCTGCTCTTACTACTGTCCTGTATGTTTGCTGCAACATTGAAATTTGCTGACTGTGGGACGAATAAAAAGGTGTTCTTATTATTTTTATTCTTAACTGTATGGCAGTGCGGGTCCATTCTGGTCATCTAACTCCATCAGCCATGATTTCCATATTTCACATTTTTAACCATAGATTAAGTAATTAAATACTCCATAATGGAGGTACATATAGCTCATTATTTGCTAGTTAATGCGAGGTAATCCATGTTCATGATTTGCATTGTGATTTCTAATTAACATCCCCATTCGCTGATAATCGTGTAAAAAATTTTGCTGTAATGAAATGATTTGCAGGGAGGAAGTGGTGAGTGAACAGGATAATATGGACAGGGTCTGTTTGAGTAATGACAATAATTATGAGCTGGGCAGTTTGCAGGTTTGATGGATTCTTTGGAGCCTGCCCCGGTGAAGGACACAGCTCTCTTATGTCGTGGCGTGTGTCTATGGCCATTACTGCGCTGTTTTCAATGTGTAATGGGATGTTAAATGCAAGTCCCCAGGGTTAGCAGTAACAAAACTTTGTAAAATGCACCCATAGAATAAAAAGGAACAGCGAACCTCAGGCCAATACAAATGAAGTTGTTATAGGGCGACCGTATAAGACGCATTGAGGGTTTTAGAACACGTTTGGCCTTCCAGAACCCAAGCATTATTTAACCTTTGCTGCGAAAAAGGAATAGGTTTTCCGAAAATAATACATGTTGTGTGTACAGAAGTAATGCAATAAGCAGTTTAGAGCTGAAAACATTTGTCACAACTGTAAGGGTTAGGGTTTTATCATTGCTGTGTATAGACTCGAAACTATGTGAGAGCTGTGAAATATAGAAAGTCTCAAGACAAAGATGCATTAGAAATATTAGATTATCGAGCATTAATAAATGTACTAAGTGTAAAAAGTTATTTTCTGTCTTCTTATGTTTAAGGCTTAGAACGTTATTTTAATAAGACAAACAATTTAAAGAAGCTAGTACTGCTAATTACCTGATATGTTTTGGCGCTAAACTTCCGCCTTCGTCAGAGGTGGCATGATTGTATGACCTGTCTCTTACCAGCTGTCACACCATCAAGTGTCACCTCTGACGAAGGCAGATGTACTGTATACCCCAAACCATGTTAGGTAATTAAGCATTACTAGCTTACATTTTTTGTCTAAGTATAAAAACCTTCTAAGCCATGAATAAATGTAGCAGTATTATTAGGCAGTTTAGCACCGCAGACGCATTATGTAGTAATATGCATTTATAGCATTTGTAATTATCAATAAGATTTGGCCATTAGACCCCAGCAGAAATAGCATGACGTCTACAGGAGTGCATACCATAGGAGGTGATAGAGACCCGGGTGGAGGCTGAGTTGATAACACAACGATTCCTCCATTGAAGAGGCAGTGACAGGTAGGGAGGAGGTGGGTTGGTGCGCGAACAGAATTAGGACGCAGGGACTGAGAGGCTCTGGTTGAATGAAGTCTTGAAGTGATGTTGATGAGCGCAGCTGTGTGACTGGAGCTGAGGCTGCAGGTGTGTAGTAGAAGGAGGACTGATGAGGCAGGGGACAGGGAACACTGAGAACTGTCTCTTGGTCTTCCTCTCTGAATTTACACTTTAGCTGCATTTGTGTCTCAGTTCTTTTAGTAAAAACTACCAATATTTTTTGGACTTCAAAGTAAAGCCACTACTTTAGCTTTCTATTATCAAAATAATAGCTAGTGGGAGCCCTATAAATTGTATGTTGGACTATAAAACGTCTGTATGTTACTGTAGATAGTGACTTTTTTATTTTATTTTTTTATTTTTTATTTTGCAGGGCGGGCGTTGCTTCGGCTAAACGGTGAGAAGTTGGAAAGAATGGGAATCGTCCAGGAGACACTCCGTCAGGAAGTCCTTCAGCAAGTCCTACAGCTTCAAGTGCGAGAAGAAGTCCGCAACCTCCAGCTCCTCAGCAGAAGTAAGTTTTCATTTTTACAGATCATATTAGGTTACTACTCCACAAAGACAAAACTGATTTACAAACTGATTAAAAGTGACGGAGGATTTCCTTCTTAATTTCAGTGCTGTATTTTAGTATCGTAATATTTAAACACAATATTTCTTATCTGACGCCAGATCTTACCAATGTGGGGAGAAAGATTTAAGTATCTTATATCCGACCTCATCTTCCTGATTTAAAAATAAACTACAACCAGTCAACATTGTAGATCACAGAGGCCCAATATATGTTAGAGTCAAAAATACCAAATTTTTGCAAATCAAATTCAACATGTATAATCATTTTTGGACATTTGTCATTCTACTCCCTGTGAACCAATTGCTCCTATGTCTTATCAAACCATACCCTGTGTTCGGGAATGGTTTGATTCTCTGATCTGTTGTTGATGAATCGACAACTGTGTAAAATACTTCAAGACAACTTCTATTATAATTTAGGGCTAGACAAAAATATACTGAATTGATCTCATTTTGAGCATGACAGACATTACATTTTTGCTGTGCTAAAATCTATATTCATTTAATCTTTAATTCAGACACATAAAAAGTCCATATAACACAAAAACAGGCAACACAAATAAAGGCAAACATACAATATATATGCATTACAGAACTTACAATTTACAAAAAATACATGCATTATATAAGCTATAAGGCAATGAACTGAAAAAGCATTTAAAAGTCTAAATAGTGACCACATGGAGCCTGCTGTGACAGACGAGGACCGGAACACTCCAGTGCAGTTTATTTGTGGCTGTATCGACCAAAACGGTTGATTTGTTGCTCCTGAGTGCCGCCTTCTCTAAACACTTATATCGTCAAACATCACTGCAGCCTCTTTGTCACTACAGACCCGCATCCGGACGCACACTTCGGTCATGAGTCATAGTTGTCTGAAAATAGATCGTGACATTTTGCTACTGGAGTTGAATAATAAAACAATTTGCCAAAACGTTATTAATAAAGAAGTAAGTGTAAAATCTGTAACTTTAGCATTATAAAGAAGCAAATATATAATCTGTAGCATTAGTATAAGAAAGAAGATAAGATAAGAATTCCTTTATTCGTCCCACAGTGGGGAAATTTCGATGTTGCATCGCACATATAGGACAGTAGTAGGAGCACACAGGGAGCACACACAATATATACAAATAAGTATTAGCTATGTTTCTTAGCTAACATAACTAGCTGTAGATGCTGAAAATGCTTCAATACCAGTCAAGCAAGTATATAATCTGTAACGTTAGCATAATAAAGAAGCAAGTATATAATCTGTAACTTTAGCATAATAAAGAAGCAAGTATGTAATCTGTAACTTTAGCATAATAAAGAAGAAAGTATATAATCTGTAATGTTAGCATAATAAAGAAGCAAGTGTGTAATCTATAACGGTAGCATAATAAAGAAGCAAGTATATAATCTGTAACTTTAGCATAATAAAGAAGCAAGTATTTAATCTGTAACGTTAGCATAATAAAGAAGCAAGTATATAATCTGTAACTTTAGCATAATAAAGAAGCAAGTACTGTATATAATCCGTAGCGTTAGCATAATAAAGAAGCAAGTATATAATCTGTATCTTTAGCATAATAAAGAAGCAAGTATATAATCTGTAACTTTATCATAATAAAGAAGCAAGTATATAATCTGTAACTTTAGCATAATAAAGAAGCAAGTGATGTGTAATCTATAACGGTAGCATAATAAAGAAGCAAGTATATAATCTGTAACTTTAGCATAATAAAGAAGCAAGTATATAATCTGTAACTTTAGCATAATAAAGAAGCAAGTACTGTATATAATCCGTAGCGTTAGCATAATAAAGAAGCAAGTATATAATCTGTATCTTTAGCATAATAAAGAAGCAAGTATATAATCTGTAACTTTATCATAATAAAGAAGCAAGTATATAATCTGTAACTTTAGCATAATAAAGAAGCAAGTGATGTGTAATCTATAACGGTAGCATAATAAAGAAGCAAGTATATAATCTGTAACTTTAGCATAATAAAGAAGCAAGTATATAATCTGTAACTTTAGCATAATAAAGAAGCAAGTATATAATCTGTAACTTTAGCATAATAAAGAAGCAAGTGATGTGTAATCTATAACGGTAGCATAATAAAGAAGCAAGTATATAATCTGTAACTTTAGCATAATAAAGAAGCAAGTATATAATCTGTAATGTTAGCATAATAAAGAAGCAAGTATTTAATCTGTAATGTTAGCATAATAAAGAAGCAAGTATATAATCTGTAACTTTAGCATAGTAAAGCATAATTATGTATCATTGTTAGTGTCACGAGGCGATGTGATCGGGGGACTCAAAACGCAGAAATGCAAAAATAATGATTTAAGGATGAAAACATAAATCCAAGGTAAAAAAAAAAAAAGGAGACATATGGAGCCAAAACAGTGAACGGGCACGCGCAATGCGTCAAAAAAAAAAAATCCAAAATATAACTTGGAACATGAAAAAGACGGATAAAGAAGACAATCCAATGGACCAGCAACAAGGAGAGAGGAGCACAGGGTACATATGGACACAGGTGAAACAGACAGGAAGTAAAACCAAACCCACAGAGATCTAAAGTCAAAACAAAACAAAGTACACAATAAAACCACACCTTTACCGTTAGCATTCACTGACAATCCCCATCTGCTCCTTTAAGCCCAAACTTTTTAATACCGTCCAGACTGTAGAAAAACAAAGGATTTCAATACTCAGCACTAGTATTTTTGTTGTTTTCAAAGTGTGACATTGAAGGAGTTAAAACCATGTTATTACTTTTATAAGGGTATATTTACGAATACTTTTCTCAGTGACTGTCTGTGTGCGGGTGATGCTTTTCGTGTTTCCTGTCGCCCTGAGAGCTCTCTTCAATCACTGCTCACAATCGACCAGAACATGAAGAGGTTTTCTCTCCCAGTCGACTGATTAATGCTCCAAGAAATGTGATTGATAGAAATTTTACAACAACTCGTTCTCACCCGCACTTTAGATAGAGTTTTAGCTGTCAGGTTTTTAAGATTATGAGAATACAGGGCTGTGGAATGAAGAATAGAATGGGTGGAATAAGTTTTTGCATAAAAAAAAAAAAACAGTTGGTATAATGGTGTAGATTGGTTGTTTTTTTACCTGGTTTTATTTTGGTATATATGTGTTCTCTTTTAATTCCTGTCTGTCCTGTTGATTGTATGCTCCTCCCTGTGTCTCTATGTGTGTATTTACACCCTGGGATGTGTGTGTGTTTAATTTGTAATAACTTCCAGCCAAATGGCTCAATGAACACAATGATTCAGAATGGGCCAACAAAGTGGGAGTGTTGGGACTGGTCAGTGGAGCCGGGGGTGGGTGAATATAATGTATAAAAGATATGATAATTACTCAATCGGAAAAAAATCCATTTATATTCATTTACATAACTTCATTGTGATACAAGTAACAATTTTAATTTCTAAAGTGTGTAGGTGGTTTTTAAAATGGAATACCCAGGAGGCTCCAATAGCTCATAGGTGGGCCCCCAAAACTATGAGTGTGAAAATAGGTCAAAACAATGTGTAAATATTGGTCAAAATCTGTGGAGGTAAAGTTGTCTTTTTTTCCATTTTCATTTTAACCCTTTGATGTTCACTTCTTGAAAAAAGCAATGTATTTTTTTCCTTTTTTGATTTTCTAATATGTAGGAGCACTAATAACACAAATATAATTATAATACTCTATATTTCAGTTTTTAATTTCAACTCCCTAGTTTTTAAACATAAGTCTTTACCTAATGGTTCAAATGCAGTTTGATGGTAAAAGTGCCTAAAACCATGTGAGTTTCCCCAAAGTGGTATGTTTCAGTTCCAAGAGATTCAAAATGTAATGTAATGATTGAGGAAACCATTTGGTCTTACTACACTATTGTAAAAATTTCATTTCGTTGTAAGGTTTGGATTTGCTCCATTGAACTCCGTTAACAAATGGTAGGGGTTTACTCCTTTTGCAGATTGAAATGATTGGATCAGAGTTTTCTCTGACGTATGTCCCGAGTGAGTCGTTAGCATTTAGCATTTAACAGAGCCTGTGGGGAGTAGAGCCACAACATCTTTTCAGCAATGACATTTGCTAAATATTCCTCTTGCTCTGGCTTCAATTACTTGATATTTGGGAGGCGAACCAGAACGGATTACTTTCCTATTCCATTCGCCGCCATTTGAAATTCAGAGCAAACTCTTGACGTCACCGACACCTAGCTGCAACACCAGCCTCCCCGCTTGCTGATTGGTCGGTGGGGATACAACCGAGGTAACTGCAGCCCCATGGATCAAACCCAGTACATGTAGGGAAATAATAATTGACTGGAGTTTACAGATGGCTACGGCCAGACGAGACGTGTATTTACATCCATAGAGACAACATTGTAACATTGAGATAGTAAGTCTTTATCGAGATGTGGGTTCTCCTTGAATGTTTCCTTAAATGATGCAGCAACTTTTGTTTCCTGAAAAACCCAACTTGAATACAAATGCACCAAACCAATCTGTTTTTACCTGTTAATTTATTTGCCCCATGTACTTGCAATAATCAATTTTCTTATTTGCAACATTTGTAATATCAATGGCATTGGCTTAACCAGGTGTTCTGCATGAGATTATCCTGGACTGAACCACAAGTCCGACCACAAGTGAGCATTGAGGAAAAATAATTAAAGAGCTGTTGGACACTTCTATTAAAAGTGCGATGCAAATGTAATTTAGCAGTCGAGCGGGTGCAGGTTAATTTGCTGGCCCCGTATCTCACACTTGAGGATCACAGGGTGAAGGGGAAGTGGAGGTGACAGAGGCTCATTTAGCAATTTAAGTCTCAGTCGACAACTCGGCCATTTGTGCGAACACAGAATTGTGGTATTGCCGTATATTTCATTATAATATAAAGGTAGATTGTTGATCCATTTAATGTTAAAATCACTTGCT